CACTACTGTGACAAAAATCAGCATGCTACTGGCATAAAGAAGGACCCAAGAATCAATGGAACAAATTAGAAGGTGTAGATGCAACTATCAACTCATTCAGGCACCTTGACTTTCACAAAGTTGCCAAACATATTCACTGGAAGAAACAGCCTGTTTAGTAAATAATGCAGGAATAATTGGCTTTCCAATGATGAAGGCTAAATTTAAACCCATCTCTGTTACCATGACTAAAAAAACAGTCAAAATTAAAATCTCAAATACTAAATCTACTGGATAAAAATTAAGTAGAAATCTGAAAGATATAGGGATAGGTATATAGTTTATTGAACAAAACTCAAACTTCATGAGAAATATTTCAAAGAATCACCACCTTGGATTTTATCTTTTTGAAATCCAACTTCAAATTGACATTACTGTACATCAAAAGTAACCATGAACAAAGTAAAATGAAAACCGCAAACTTGGAAAAAGTTAAAGTCAACTACCACTCTAATAAAGGCCTTCTATGTAGAACGTGTGAAAATTTTTAAAACTCAGGCCTGCAGGGGCTGGTGAGATGGCTCACTGGTCTAAGGCACCTACTTAGAACAAGCTAAGCTAAGCAAAACACAGGGACCTTGGTTCAATCCCCCAGCACCACATGCCAGCCAGCCCTGCCCCCTGGTGGGCTGAGCTGGCCACACACACACTAAATAAATAAATAAATAAATAATAAATAAATAAATAAATCTTGGGCTGGAGAGATGGCTCAGTGGTCCAAAGCACCTACTTGGAACTAGCTTGGCAAAGCATCAGGGACCGCGGTTCGATCCCCCAGCACCACATGCCAGCCAGCCCCGCCCCCTGGTGGGCTGAGCTGGCCACACACACACACCACTCTCTCTCTCTCTCTCTCTCTCTCTCTCTCTCTCTCTCTCTCTCTCTCTCTCAAATAAATAAAAAAAAATAAAAAAAAAAACTCAGGCCTGCAACTTTCAAAGACTCAGTACAAAAATGGGCATCTGAGATGGATAACCTTTTAAATGAAAAATGCAAAGGACAAGTAAATATATGAAAAAGTGCTCAATATTATTGGTCAGTAAAGAAATGCAAATTAAAAAACACTGACATTCCACCTCATGCCTGAAAGAATGACAATCATAAAGATATTAACCAATAGCAACTGCTGGATGGACTGTGGGGAAAAAGGAACACTTTTGACTGTTGGTGAAATAATAGACTAATACAACCACTATAGAAATCATGTGGATATTCCTACCAATAAAAGCAAGTATTGGAATTTCTGTTCAGCCTAGCTATTCCTCTTTTGTATATTTTTCATATGGAATGAAAATATTATACTGCAGAAATCTATGTGCACCCATATTTATAGTAGCACAATTCATCATAACTAAATTGAGACAGCAACAGAAATGCCCATCAACTGAGCAAT